TAATGATCCTAGGGTATAAATAATAATGGAACAGCTACAAGGACTTTAAGTATCCTGGACAACATGCAATAAAGCACTGCATAATCTGCCAATGAACAGCTATATTTGGCATGAATATACATCTCACCTGCTGTTCCACTCTGGTATTTATGAACATGTGCCTGTGCTTCGTTGGGTCCTGGAAAGCAAGGGTTTAGCCCCTTTGTGTGTAACAAACCACACTACCTTAACTATGTGCATTTCAGAGGGATTTTACTTTGTAATTTTAGTCAGTGGTTTTGGACTGATGGACCATAGAGATTAGAGATTGGAACATATTAGGAGCTTTTTTTTTTTTTTTTTTTTTTTTTTTTGTTTGTTTGTTTGTTTGTTTTAATTTCATCTAAAAGGAATACAGCTTTTGCCCTGATACCACCATACCACCTCACAATATGATCCCAAGCATGAAACGGGACATGACCAAAGACCAATGCAGCAGTAGGGTGCTGTAAATTCATGAGAAATTCGTGAGACCATACAAAAGGTTGCACTCCACCATGGGATATGACAGGTTGATTCCAAGGAAGGCTTCACTGCTTGGACATTATAGAAACCCTGAACACCAGATCCAGATCCAGAAAAAAAAAAAAAAAAAAAAAAAGCAGGTAGTTTACATTTTACTTTGCAGGGTAAAAAACAGAATATGACAAATCTTTTTTATTGCACGTATCCTGGCACAAAAGATACACCTAGGGTAGATTATAGCAGCATTCATTCTATATAATAATTTTGTAGTTAATGAAATTAATTGCATATTTTAATGTTCTTCTACATATGTAAATGAAAAAAATCTTAACTCCCTTATCTTTTTAGACAGGAGCTTGAAGAAAGATTGGAATAACAAAAAAAAATTGTCTTTCAAATCATGAAAAAGGCAGTGTCTTAGGTATTACGCGTTTCCTTAAATATATCCAGATTATGCTATTAAATTACCTCATCACTTTTATATTCATAAGTGTGGGATTTATTTACTTATAAGAATGAATACAAACAATAAGGCTGTCACACATCTGAGAAGCATAGTGAAAAATAAAAGTGGGATGAATGTCTTTCACTAAATACTCTAATTCATGACTCAGGCCTAATTCATGCCAGGATGTTGTTATAATTAATACTAAAGAAAATAAGATTACAGTGATAACACAACATCTCTTACCAATGAGTACCTAGCACACACATGAAAGCAGTTAAGCTGTCTACTCTGCCAGCTAAAAAACACCTCAGCTTAATCTTTCACTATTATTTTGAAAACCTTCTTTGAAGTTTGATCTGAAACAGCTCATCCCATGAACAAGTCTCAGATTTCCCCACTGTCCCCCTACCCCCCCGTAATTCAATTAGTAGAATAACAAACCATTATATCATACCCATGGTTAATACTTGATTTTGCCTGAAACCTATGCTCAGAAGATCTCTTCTGTCATAAATCCTTTGTTGATATGCATCTGCGTTGCTTGAAGTAACAAGTTTCTCTATTACAGCAACACAGAAGAATTAGAAATGGTTTTTTTTTTTTTTTTTTTTTTGGTCAAGAAATATCAATTCATTGAAAATATGTTGCTCATCAGGAATGAACAAGAAAATAAATGAAAGCAGTAAGATTTTACGGTTTTATGGCTTTATTTAGTCAATATTTATTTTTTAGTACTGAACTGGATCTCAGTGGTCTAGTATACCTCCACTGACCATTGGCTGTGAAATATCTGTATGCACAGATGATGGAAGTGCGGAGGTTAGGGGAAAAATCAGAAAAGCAAAAATAAAATAAAATAAAACTATTTGCTTTGCTTTTCACTTGAGGCAGTCGGTAATCATCAGATGATTCCTAAAGTACCAAAAGAGTTCATAAATGATGTGTATGTGTGCCTCTGTGGCTCTTTTTGCATGTTGTTTTGTCCTAAATCCTTGGTGATCATTTTCCATTCTTGTGAAAGGACATATCTCCAAATTTTCTAATGTAATTTCAGACTTTTAAAATTTATACTAACCACTGTCCATTAACAAGGGAAACAAAGTTGCAGGTTTTTTTTTTTTTTTTTTTTTTTTTTTTTTTAGTGGTCTGAAAACTAGAGATTTCACAGGCCTCAGCCTATCTGGTGTAATTTTATAGCCATCTTATTCATCAATTAAGCAATAAACCCTAAAGAAGTGGGATCATAAAAAACACAGTTTCTGCAAAATCTGTCATGAAAAGTATACTTGAAATATATAAGTCAGAATGCCCTGTCAAACAGTGCACTTTCAATTTTTTTTTTTCCTCTACCATCAAATCCTTGAATGTATACATTGTGACTAAGGGAGTATCTTTAACTAGATGCAGTTTGCTGTTGGGATGCCATGAGAAATGAGTGCCTTTGGGCACTCATTTCCTCATTAGGAAATGAGCAGGAACTTGAATATGTAAGTGGCACTCAGTAGAGTTACACACCTTTCTTGATTACATTTTTAAAGTGGTATGTCACCTTTTACAAAAGGTAATACCATAAATGTTTTAAAGTTTTCTGCTTAGGTGTAGCAGTGACAGATATCTCATACATGTAAATACATACGGCAAACTAGTAGAATAGATCACATTAGAAGATGCAGGGAGACGTTACTTTTTATGAATATTTGATAATTTTTTTCCAAAAAAACTATGGTTTCTTGCAAAGCAGGTGCACACACATACATGTTCCCACCCTTTGATGACTCAGTGACTAAACCTACTACATCCCCAGCAAAAATGTTGGTTTTACCTATGGTTTTGGTTATCAATTTAAATTCACATTGTCATTTGCACATAAATAAAGGCTAACCAAATGCTAATCATCCCTAAAGTTGGTAAACTGGGGATGAACTTTATGACCGAAAAGCTTTTTCCAAAATGTTATTTTGCCAAATAAACATGGATAAAAATAACACTATTGTTCAAACTACTTAGTAAATGTATTAAGATTTTCAGTTTCTAAAAATGTAGATGGGTGTATGTGTGTTAAATGTAAAACACATTTTGAAATTGTAGTATTGAATGTTCTTACATTGTTTTTGTCTCTTGTGATTTATAGCCCTGGTGCTGGTATGTATTTGTAGCCTTGTCAGTTAGCCATGCATTTTGATACGGTAGTTTTTTAATTCCATGAACTTGCTAAGGACTTTGTAATCTTTATGTGTGACTTAACATCAACATAAGTGTAAACTGAGAGCAGCATCTTGGCCCACTAGTATGTATTTCAGATGTATTGTATTAAACCCAATAGTAGGCAAAACCAATTCTTCTTAGGTGAAATCCAGAAGAAACTATGTTAAAACCAAGTCACCAGAAAAATAAACTGGTTAAAAAGTAGCAGTGGAAAACTGCATTGTGAGAGATGCACTTCCTATAGTGTTCCTGTCTATGAGTTCATGCAAATGATTCAGAATAGCATTTCCTCACATATACTCCTTTTTCTGTTGCCAAAATTTTTGGAAGAAATTGTTTCAAACCACTTAAAGACTTGTATTTTCCACCCTCTCCCTCTCTTCCCCCTCCTCCCCCCCCCCTAAAAATAATCCTTTTTCACATTAATGTTCTATTTAAACATGACATGGTCTGTCATAACTCAAACTGCCATCTAGTTTTCCTATGATTTGTCTTAAGCCGCTGTGATTTTTTTTCTTGGAAGCATAGCTTCATGGATGAAGCTAATTGTAAATAATAAGAAAATCATGGGAGAAAAATGCAATAGCTAGTTTTAAAAAAGGCGAAAAACAACAGTCCCCTAACCTGAACAGAAAATTTTAATTAAGGTATTTGTTCCAAGAACAAGAATAGACCAAACAAATAACCCTGATTACACATGGAAAACATTCAGACTCATGTGATCATTGTAAACTAATAATTTTAAATCATTTTAGCAATTCGCAGTCTTTTCTGAACTACATCTGATATCTGATCATTCCAGTAACTCCCAGTTCACAGCTTCTTTGTTACACTTTATTGAACTGCAAAGATCCTCTGCATTCCTGTGCACTGTTTCTTTCATTTCCTTATATATGGCTGAGTTGGCTCCCTGAGCCCTGTATTTCTTTCTAGGTAAAGTTGTTCCCCACCTCCCCACCCTTCCCAAACTTTCCAGCACACACTAAGGACTTTAGCATAGAGTTGCTTGCCAGAATATAGTTGCATTTTCAGTTCTTGAGATGTTTGTTTGTCACATCCTGAAATTTAGTTGTTCATTGTCATCCAAACTTCTGGTTTAAGCACATTGAGGACAGGGTACTCAGGGTGCTCAGGGTGTTTTATACACCAGTGGTAAGTTTTAAAATTAAAAAATACAGGCCTTGAGTAGATACCTATCTGTTTTCAAAGGATGGTGGGCAACCTGAAGGTGCACTCATAGATGTCACACCTCTGGTAGTGTTTAAGATCAAGGAATTATAATTTATTTCTTCTCCCTGTGTGTGCCTGAAGCCAAGTTCTGGATGGATACCAGGTTATTTGCCTGTTCTTTTGAACTCAGGCACAATAACAGTGGCAATAACTAAGACAGGATCTGATAATAGAGTTTCTGAATATGGGTCTTGCACAACACGCTATTATTTTTTCTATAAATTCTGTAACAAAAGAGATTGGTTGGGAGTACCCATATCTCAGAAGAAAATGAAGCATTCTCCAGCCATACAACTGCAGTATTGCTACTGGTATTGTGGAAGGATTGTATAACTCAAAGCATGTATAGTGCAACAACTTTTTTTGAAACTTTTAAATTTATTTTTTAATAAGATTTGTATCATGGCAAAGTGTAATATTGGGTTTGAAATAACAGATGAAAAAGCTAACCCAGCTTTTAAGTTATATTAGCAATAAGAGTTCAGGCATGTGGGAACTGAACTCAGCTTGCTAACTTCACTTGTAAAACCCCTGTAATGTTGACTTAGCTGCTGTTTTAGACAAGGTATGTTAAGAAGGTTTTCTTGTTTGTTTTTCTGATTTTGTTAAGCAGAGTGAATATATCCTGCACCTGGAGAAGAAATAGATAAGAAACTGGGAAAGAACTAAGGAAGAAGAGACAGAACTACAAACCCAGAGAGTTCAAGGTTACGTTGCTGTAGAGTAACTATGGAAATAACATCTTACCATTTATTGAATTTGATAAATTGCATCTTATTGCACACTGATATTTCCCCCCCCCCCCCCCTTGTTAATGATGTTAAAAAATAAAAATAATAGGTAAATAAATAGAAATAAAAAGTATACTTTTTTTTCTGTAAAAGGAAACTGTCACAGTAGGGATAGATGCGGGAGGGAGCAGATGGTGGAAATTAAGAGACTTATGAAATAAAAGTAGTAGATATGGCTGGATTAGTAAGTATACTTGGTACCAAAGTTAAGTTAGAAATACATTTACTCTAGAGTCTTTCTATAGCCAGTAAAAAACAAACAAACAAACAAACAAACATATTTCCAGAGTAATTAAAATATTTGGTGAATGAGAAAAGGCTCCCCTGAAGTGACACATTGATATATTAGCTGATATATTAGCTATATTATAGATATATTATACATTATATACATAGATATATTATACATGAAAACCCCAGAAACCTTGAAAGACAGGAAAGTTGTGGTTTTGTTTTGACTATTTAGTGAAAAAGGGTGAAAAGAGTGAATGTGACCTCACTATCTGGAATATCTGTCATCAGCAGAACTCTAAACACAGATAAACCCAGTTCTGTAAAAACTGCTTGTATTTAGCTGCAGAAGCAAGAATAAATTACAGACAACCTGATAATATAATAAAGTATCATCAATTAGGAAATGAATAACAAATGAATTACAGAAAGCTGCAGACACTAAGAAAATGTAAGGTAATGGTCAGTGCTCACAAACGAGTGAGTTCACAGTATATGGTTTTTGGATTTCATGTGGTAGGTGTTTGGGCTGTTATGTGTTGCAGTTTTGACAGAAATATACCCATGTCTTTCTTTCCATGTTGTCCAAATAACGACTGAACAGTAGAATTAATATTTTCTAGCATCAGATGTCCTGTGTAGTCAGTGAATAGAAAAAGGGTCTTTGAATGTGTTACTCTTCTGAAGTACAGCTGTCTCCAAATAAGAATAATATATATATTTTTTTTCTATTAAACTATTAGGAGTTCAGAAACCATTTTACAGGTATAGGTGTACATTTTGTAGGATGGATCCCACCCTGAGGGATGAATCTCCTTCCAGGTTGTGTTTATAACTTTGGAATTGGTAAGAAAAGTAGACTTCAGGAACACTTAGCTGGAATCAGGGACTCTGGAGTGATCTGTAATATCTTGGGTTTCCCTGGGGAGAATAAGGCAGAAGATTCCAGGAGGAATATCCATCAAAGAGCCAAAAACGGTAATGTCCCTTAGATACCCCACTTGAATAAGAGAAAGTCAGAACTTAGTCTGTACAGAGTTTGCTGCCATTAAAATCTTAAGAACTATTCAGGAGATGCCTCTACCTATTCATAAGGAAAATTTTTGAGACTAGAATTTTCTGTTTTACCATTGACATCACTGTATGATAAAAATCCCCCAAAACCCTGGAAAAAAAAGGTATTTTATAATTACGGAGGAAGTGACAATCTCTAGAAGAGGTAAAAAAGAAGACTTTGGAGCCAGTTTCAAGATTTTAAAGGACTAACTGATGATTTTTGAATTTTGGGAGTTGTTAAGGTTGCATGAGTTAATTAATATATATTTTTTAATTGTTATTATTATTATATATTTTATTTTCTGTCTTCTGTGGTAGAATATGTATGGAGGTTTGCAAGTATCCTGGATACTGAAGAATTTAATTAGCTGTTTCTCCATATTTTAAAGGGAACCTGATGCAGAATATTTATTTGATGGTGCCCAGAAGCAGATGAAATAATGCTGCTCATGTCGATTTTCTGTATTTCTTTATCTGCTTCTTTTTGATATAGAGAAATAGGCCAATGTGCTCACGGGTACTGATGTCCGTAATGTTACCTTTTTTATATGTCAAAAAAAAAGGCAACAATATGATATACTATGAATTATCCATAAAGGTCTCAACAAGGCAGATCAGGAGAGATTAGGCTGTGTTGGGAGTCACTTGTCAGAAATTTGTTCTGTTCTTCTTTATCAGTATATTTCTATTTGCTTATCAGCTGGTTTATCTGTGTGACATCTACTGACAGTTTAAACCTTGTTTCTGTTGTGCAGGCATGTATCTGTATCTCATACTGCTTCAATTGATTCAGTACAAGCTGAAAACTCGAAGAGTTGGGTAAAACTCCTCTTCCTCTACAGCTAGTACTTGTCTACCAGAGATGAGTATGATTGAGAGAGCAGCTGTTTGTATCATTCTGAACAAATACTGAAGTGCAAGACCCAGCAAAGGACATCATCTGCAATTCTGGTACTAGACATAGAAAAATACCATATGAACGTTATTTTGGAAAAACTTTTCCTGAAAGCTAAAAGAGACAAACTTATTGATGCTTAACTTGTCCTACAGAAATATTAAACTAGGTTACCAGTAGCACAAATGTCAATAGAAGTCTTACAGAATGATTGAATATAGTACAAAAAGCAGAGAATGATGCTTTGCCATGAAGAAAAAATATTCTTCCTTTTGAGTGTGCTGGCAGAATATGGTGTTGAGGTAAAGATATCAGTAGTAAGGAAGTGACCAAAATGGTAGATTGATTGAAATAGCAGAATAACTCATTTTTTTCCAACCCTGCATAAAGCAGGGTTAATGATAAAGTGCAGACTTTGTGTATGGGAGACTCAAGTCTAGACGTGCATGTTAGTATGGAGAAATAATTTATTTTCTTTTATTCTGTGAAGAATGAAAACTATTATGTAAGGTGTTTCAAAACTTATCATTGAATGATTGAATGGAATGAAGCTTTCAGCCTTCATGTATTAAGTTAATTCCTTTTGTGGTATTTCCGGAACAGGAAAAGCAAGTGTTTCAACTTCCATCTGGACTCAGTTTTGAAATACATCAAAGACATTAACTGGGCCTTGTTGTAGATGGATTTAATAGAAAAGAAGTTTCATAATCATACAAATATTATTTTTCAGAGCAAACGATTAGCAGTCTAATATACCTTATATATCTTATAGTAAAATTTATATCTGATTTACTAAGACTCATTCTATGATATATTAAAACATTGGCTAATAGATGGAGAGTTCCTGATTTATGCATTGGTGGATATACATAAATCCCCTGCATTTTAACTTTCATTAGAAGCTTTTCCTTGACTGATATTAAAGCTGTGTATAAAGATGTAAGCTGAACTCTCTCTTTTTATCATTGTGAATGCCTGTATAGGAAAATGGTGTGAAGAAAATCAAAAATAATTTAATTTAGACATTTCTAAAATAATCTTTCTATGGGACTTTCTTTCCTCTTTTGGAACTCTTAACAACCTTTCCAAGATGAAGTTAAAAACAGTAACCCCCAAAGATATACTCTTTTAGTCATTATCATGGGCTGTTTCCTATAACGTAAACTCATTGCAAAATTTTCATTGACCAAAACATCTGGAAACAAAAACAAAAACAAAACCAACCAAACAAAAAAACAACCCAAAAGATTTACTTTTATCAAACACCTGTGTGCATCCTCACAACATTTATTTACTATGGCCTCATGGTAATTTTGGTACAGGATGATTATTCTTTTTGTTAATCACTGAAAGTAAACAGATGATGTGGAACGCCCCTCTCTCTCCAATCAACATGTTAGAGACATTTTCTAAGAGAATGCATGGCTACAAACAGGTCCAATAAGTCCATGGTACAACAGTGGAATAATTAAATTGTCTCATATTGCCATTAAAATATTTTCTTAACTTGCTTTTCCAGCTGGCTTAGATTCTGTGTCTTAGTTCCGTTGAAATCAGATTCATCTTGACCCTGAACGCATTGATGAGTTCCTGGCCCTTTTGTTATTACAAATGGTTGTTTTTTAGAGGAAAAACAGTGGCAAAAAGAGACATCACAGAAATATTATCTTAACTGTGACAGACCATGGGAAATTCACATTTGGATGAAACTTTAACCTTTTGCTTTCACTGCAAGGTGGGAGCATTTCAATTCTACCGACTTCTGCTATTTTCACATTTCTTTAAAAAGCCCCTCTGTGGTCTGTAATAAATTCTTTGGGTCTCTAAAAATAGCCATGTGGACTATGTGTGCTGTTTTTCTTAGTATTTCATCAAGTTCATTATTAACACTGGATATATCAAAGCAAACTGCAACAGCTGTAGAGACATTTTTGTATACTGACAGGTTAATTTGTGAATTATACTTTTTAACTAACCTCATTAAAATTTGACCTTTTGAAATAAAAGCATATCTATGCTTTTTTCAAAGTTTTAAAAGATTTTTTTCTCCCCCAGCATTCTTGAAGTGATGGAAATGCGGTGCGAAATAGCATAGGCCAAAAGAATCTTGAAGGGCAGAAAAAACGTTTAAGAGATTTACAAGCTTGAAAACTACAGCCATAGTGGTTCTCCATGTACAAGAGTTCCTGTGAATCTGAAGCAAACACAGAAGGATGCCTAGATGGTGGTCAGGGGCTTGAAAACATGGTTCAGCCCACAGGAGAGAAGACCAATGGATCTGAAATCCTGTACTCCCTAAAGTAGAGAGATGGCAGGGCCAGACTCTCCACAGAGGTATGCAATGAAGAGATGAGAGGCAGTGGTCACAAGCTGTAGCAAGGGAATTTCCTTTGAGATAAAAGGAATAAAAAGATAAAAATATGATGGTCTAGAAGTCATCTCGTCCCACCTGCTTATAGCAGGTCTATATCTAAACTAGAACAGGGTACCATATCCAGTCACATTTTGAAAATCTCCAAGCAGAGCATCCTGATCACAGTTTATTAAATTTTTATGTGAGTAATTTAAATCATTCTAAAACTTAAGAATTATTTTAGAAAATATACATAAACAGCACATTGAATAAAACTGGTTCAAATTAGCCCACCATTGTAAAATTTAACATTTGATATCACAATGTATTTTGAACAGTCAAAATATTTCTGAACTACGAGGACATTCAAGTTACCTTTAGATTTGCTATTGTTTCTAATTACTTCTTCTTGAAGTAATAACTGAGAATTGGATATGAGTATTTTCCCAAAGACATGGTATCTTACACCTGTTTGACAAAGGCTGAACATGTTCCTTTATTAGACCATCAAGCATAAATAATTCACCACTGTTATGAAAGAAAAAAAACACCACCATCTACAACCAACCTAACAAAAATATTTGTGGTAGGATTGGAAGAAAGGCTTTAGTTGTGCAAAAAGGACACTTTAAATTACTGTTATAATAGACATTGATTTTACTTTAGAAATCAGTGCATCAAAACCAGGATGTGAATCAAAACCTCAAAGAAAGTTATTTATGTTTGATTAGAAATACACTTTTGGAAACTGATGAATTTGAATTTTCTTGCCATAGGGCTCTCATAGAATCATAGAATGGCCTGGGTTGGAAGGGACCTCAAGGATCATCTTTTTCCAACCCCCCTGCCTTAGGCAGGGATGCCACGCAGTAGATCAGGTTGCTCAGGGCCTCATCTAACCTGGTCTTGAACACCTCCAGGGATGAGGCATTGACAGCCTCTCTGGACAACCTGTTCTAGTGCCTCACTACCCTGTGAGTGAAAAACTTCCTTCTAACCTCTAATATAAATCTCCCCTCTTTTTGTTTTAAACCATTCCCCCTTGTCCTAATGACTGCAATTAAGTGTGTTACTTTAAACACTTCTATGAATGTTCCACATATTTCTCATCGAGTATGGGCCTCTGGGTCTGTGGGGAACTCAGAGGAGGAAGACAGCGAACCTCTTCCTATTAGTCAGTTGATCTGAACCAAGTTGGTTGATCTGATGAACTGCTTCATACTCTTGGATCCTTTGCTAAGCTCTCACATTGCAGCATTTGTGAGTAATGTTTCATATCATCCAGTTGGCTCACAGACCATGTCCCATTCTGGCGGATGATGACCTGGCCTTTATTATTCATGCCTTCATCACTTCTTGGCTAGTGGATAGCAGTGTGATAAAACCGGGCGTGATGCCTACAGCACTTAGGAAACTCCAACTAATAGAGAAGGCTGGAACACATCTCGGCAGGCACACTGGCTACCATGGTTCCATCAAGCTTCCCTACAGAGATTTTCCATGGAATTTCATTTCTAGTTTGAATTCATTTTTTACTATAAAATATATACATTTATATATATGTTTAACCAAGGGATGAAAATTGTTCATCCCACAGAAACAAAAGAAAATCACTAGTTTCTCTTCCTTGTCTCCAAAATCCTCTTTCACTTTTCCTTCTCTAATATAAATGCATAATAGCTTTGCTAATCCTAAAGCCTAAGCCCTACCAGAACATCGTTCCTTCTTGAGAAGAGAAGAAAACAGAAATCATGTGAAAGACACAGTCCTGTTGCTTACTGCAAAGCAGAAGGTCAAAGGGTGAGTGAGGACTGCAGCCAGAAGAACCTGTGTGGTGGACCAGAAGGATTATGCAGAGCAAATGCTAAGTCAGAGTCAAAATCATGGCCTTCTTTTGAACAGAGGCTAATAAAAGACACAGTGGCTAAATTCAGTGATGGAAAATATTTTCTGAGTTTACTGAGAAATTCCTCTTGTTTGCTACCACTAGAAACAATTGATAAAATCAGATAAATATTTTAAGGCTTTAATTCATCATATTATTTACCCAGACATCTAAGTCCATTCCTATTCAGTGAGGTATGTGAATATTTTAGTGTTTTGTCTCTACTACTTTTCTCCTCATATTGGCTATGTGAGAAGTAGGACCAGATGTTAATACAACAAGGAAGTAAGTTTCATAATTTTCTGTGTGCAAGTGTGGAAGCAAATACAAAATTGGACAAACTATCTATGTTTGGCTAGTCCCCTTAGAATAAGTAACTACTCCCGAGAACAGAACTTAAGATTCTTGCAATTTATATGACTTCGAGTCCTAATAAAGAAGACATTTCTGATAATATTGATGGCCGATACAGCAGTGCAATTACTAGATTCACTTTAGGTGTAATAATTTAGAAAAATTGTTGTTAGGTAGAACTCCCAAAACTGTGCCTCCTGAGAATAATCTCTGATACAAACAAATAAACAAACAAAAAAATGACTTTCTAGATGTTTAGGTGGAATCTCTCAATAACTGTGGCTTGGCCTAAGGAATTCTGTAAACTTCCTCTGTAATGCTTTCCTTTTTTCATTCTTCTGTATATGATCCAGTGAAAGCAATTCCTTCTTTGTACCTCAGCTGACATACTGTACCAATTCAGTTTGAGAGAAATAAAATAGCTAAAGAATGTGCTGATGAGCACAGTTATCAAGGGAGGTTGTCATGAGGTTTATAGCACTTTCTTAGTTTGCTTGTGCGTAATGACAGCTGATCTAGAAAAGCATAAAACTGCAGCTGGGAATCAAAGCCAACTTTCAAAATTAAGTATTATTGATATTGTAGAGGAATATGTCTGAAGAGGAAAGCAGGATATGCCCTGACAGCACCAGAAACCTGTCCATCATATTATTTTTCCTCAGCCTAAGCATTCTGTGCTCCAAGTGGGAAAGAACTTAAAGGATTACTGTGGTTAAAAAGGCAGGTGTAGGTTGCTATGTAGGTATATTTCAAGTTCAAAAGAACTTAAAAAATGTTCTATTGAATTCAACATGAAATAGCTGTACTTCTCTGATTATAGGCAATTCAAAGGAGTTCTGTCATGTTAGTGGCTCTGTATCACATTGTAGACATGTGCACTCTTATTGTCAACTTTTAAAGTCTTTCATCTCACTAGAATAAGTCTGTTTCCTCCACAGATTTTTGTATTTTGTTTTTTATTTTTTTGCACATAACTTTCTAGTCAGTGTGTAAACAGGGAACTCCACCTATGGTTAACACGCATGATTTTGTCACATTCTTTTGTATTACCTAATGAAGCAATTCTGTTATTGTTTCATGTGGGTCAACTGAACAGTTCAGTTGTAAATTTGACTTTCTCACATGTCAGTGCAAAAAAACACAGAAAATGAAAACAAGCCACCTGAATAAGCTTTGCAGATTGTTATCTGGAAGCCCCTCCATTGTCATAAATTAAATATAAGATCCCATCAATTTAGGAGTTCCATAGTTTGGACACTGATCACTACTACTATAAGGAAATTAACACAGTAATCACAAAGATTTACTGGTAATTTTCCTAGAAATGCTAGGGACCTTCCTAGTCATTCCTACTCATATTTTGAGGTGTATTTTGGAACAGCTTCTACTACACAAAGAAAATGCAAACAGAATAAAGAAAAATATGGTTTTAATATGTTCTCTTTAGTCATATAGATACCTAAAACTGCTTTTTTCACCCAGGACAGACCATCTGTGTCATCCAGTACTTGGTGAATATCAGTAATAATTAATCAGAGGTTTCATTCTGCTATATCATATTATTATGTAGCAAGTACATTATATTCCTTTTCTATTCAAAAACGTTCTATGTGTACCACAAGGATGATTTGGATTGCTGTATGAAAAGATATATGTAGCTGAAGATGTGAAATTAAATTATTAATACATATACACATTAAGGTAAATGCGATGTAGAGACTGCTTTCACTAAGAAATGAAATGTAGATGCTACTTTCACTGACGTTATATTCTTCAGAGCCATTGCACAGAACACTTTCACTGTTTGCTTTAAAAGCAATTTATCACTCAGTAACAAATTAAGATCCTAGAGGTTAGTCAATTTTATTTTTTTTTTCTTCATTGTGCTTTATTTATAACTTCATGCATAAACTATGCAGGAATTTTCCAAACATAAAGAAATACAAAAGCTATTGCTTCATACCCTTGAGCATCTAAAGTAACAAAGATACTTGGAAATGTTCTCTCTATACTAAATCCCAGATGACAGCATTAGATCATTTCTATTGCTATTTCCTTTGTTTGTGTTCCTAAGTATAAATGATGCTAAGTAGTATGACTATAAAGAATATCATGATTGTGCACTAGTCCATTGCTGGCATAAAGAATTGCAAGGCTGTCTTACATCCATACTTTTCCCACTGGATAACTTCAATTTAATGAAGATCAATGCCTGTACCTGTTCTGACAAGCCCTCAGCACAGCATCCAATTGCTCTAGGAGCTTGCCGCACACTGGCAGGGAAGCTCTGTTATGAGCAGATTTGGTAATGCAGCTCCTGCAGTGCTCTAACAAAAAATTGTCTGTAACTTTTTCAAGTAACTCTAAAAAGGAAATATCAAAAACTGTCCCTAAAACAGGAGGAATATGCCCTGACAAAGGAGTGCAGAGAAAACAAGAACGAGAGAAGGAAAAACACAAGGAAAGTAAGCTTGGTGAAGATAAATTGGAGTAACAAAGATAGGTGGAGTGTGTGGAGGTCCTCAAGAGAGAGAGAAAAAAAACATGAGCTGAGCAAAAAATAAAATAAAATAAAATAGCATACAAAGACATAACAATAATAATAATAATAATAATAATAATAATAATAATAATAATAATAATAATAATAATAATAATAATAATAATAATAATAATAATAAACAATAATAATAATAACAATAATAAAAATAACAAACAACCAGCAATGCAAAGTAGAAAGAACACCAGAGAAAACAGAGTTGGAGGAGCAATGCTCAGAGGAACAAAAACTTATGAAACGTTTGAAGAACAACAGTGAACAAAAAGGCAAATATTTATTATTTCTCTTTCATAGCTACTTGGGTCCATGACCATCAGACTTTGTTGTATGGTGATAAACTTAATAATTTTGAGTTAACTTTTTGAGGGTAATTGTTTCAATATCATAAATCCCAATGAATTTACAATTTTTCTGGTGCTAAAAATGATGAAACGTAGAAAGTGAGAAAATGAGAGTATTCTGAGTATCAGTATCCCTAAAACAGTAAAACAAAAAATTAAAGATCATAAAAGGTCATAATTTTTGAAAGATTAATTTTGTAAGAAATTTTACACTAAAAGCATGAAAAAGCTGTAGTGTGACAGGGAAAGAGACTTTTTTTTAATTATTATTTTTTTTTCTTTCTCCACATAGAAATAGATTGTTAATTTAAAACTTAGAGAAGAATGCCAATGATAATCATTATGCCTGAAGTCATTTGGAATTTAATTTTTCTTGAAATGCCTAACATAATATTTTGATTAAGTGGATTTAAAGACTCCAACAAACAATATTCTGAGTAAACAACATCCTAATTTATAAATATCAGTCATCCAAGGAGTTCTTTCAGATTATAATTAGGGAGTACATTTCTTAAAGATAATCTGCTACAGGGAGACAGCCCTGTTTATCATCAAATATTTTTGTCTTTTTCTGCCAGCCACAATTATTGTAATTTCATGGTGGGTAGATTTTTTGTATGTGTATAGGGGAATGAGGACAGAAAGAGTAAAGTAAGCTTGATGTTCTTTCTGCTGAAAAAAGTCTAATTACTTACCTAGACCTTAGACTATTCTTTTTAATTTTGCTCTACAGCCCTACTGACGTCAATGGAAATTCCAGATGCAAAATGAAGACAGAATATAGCCTATTGTCACTTTGGGGTATAACAAAATATAAAACAGGCATTTCTAAAATATTTCTAGTTGCAGTGGTTGCAAAACACACCATACTTGATAAGCTTTCACAAACACGAAGCTAGAAGTCACAAACTGATAAACAGAATTCAATGCAAAATAATGTGAATGTGTACTTTTAAGGTTTTAAAAGCATTGGCTGTATACCTCTCCTTCACAAATGGCAGCCAAGAATTGTCAGATGAAAGATGCATGTTATCCTGGCTGATGATGTCACCACTTTACTTTTTTATGTGCGTGTATTAATCATTTTGTTTATAAGGTGATTTTAAAAAATAAAAGTAAAAAGAGAGGTCAAGCTACCTCATTTAAAACAACCTAAGAAGATTAAACAGCTGTACACAGCAGATAATAAATAATTATATATAAAAAAAGATGTTATCATTCATTAATTAGTCTAAGTTGTTTTATCTGATTGCTGTGCCAGTTAATATGTCTGTGCCTGGAATGATTTTAAGATTAAAAAAAAATGGAATGGGAGAGGGAAATCTTTTATATATGTCTGTTTCCAGCCAAACTTAATCCAAAATCCAGAATGGAGGCAGATTTTGATCTTACTGTGACCCTGACCGTAAATGCACATAAGCTGATTTCTTGGAAGTTCTTTTCAATTGTCTATTTGATATGTAGCAACGGAGTGCTGGAAGAAAAAATATAGACAATACTGAACTGCAATTTTTTACTCATTTCCTTTACTGCAACTGTGATCTACTGTTCAGTGGCACACCATGTCTCAGAAATTTGGTAACCTCCCAGTGATCTTTCTCTAAAAATGTGATGAACGTAACCAAGGTGGCAATTCAGTCAAATGAAATGACTTTTGGATGTGGGATTTCATAGATAATGATGATCTAGGTTGGAATATGAGACAGGAAAGGATTTTATAGATCCTGTCCATTGTTTTGCAAATGCAAGCATCTGTGATGTTCATTCTACATGAATCAATAAACTGTTTCTTCAAAAGTCTTTGTCTGTCCCTCCTCCCACACAGCAAAACTGACTGCGGTTGCTCTAAAACACCAGAAACCACCAGATGGACAACACAATCTGCTAAGCCACTAAGGGATTTCAAATAGAACTATCCCTCTGTCAAACTGTCCAGACACTTTGGTGTACCTGCCCAGGACCTGGTGAAGAATGGGCCCTATCTACACTAAAGGTAAAGGTAAGAATATCAAATGTTCCCTGTCAAAGCAGACCAAGAAAGGATTCCTTCTTGAGCCCAGATCTGATGTTTGCTGTATCATAAGCAAGAACCATTGATTTGGCAACCAAGGAGGTTTCTGACCATCCGTAGACAATACAAGTCCCTGATAAGCAAAACTTACTGAAAATTAGTACTTTACTAAATTTATACTAGTTCATTTGAGAGTGGGCTTGCCTACAAACTTACTTGCTGTTGCTGACAGTATTTACCAGCTGCATTCTACATGGATTACATGCTTTATTAGGATGAAAGTAGCTCATCACTGCATCTTACTCAACATAGAATCATAGAATCATAGAATATCCTGAGTTGGAAGGGACCCTTAAGGATCATCAAGTCCAACTCTTGACACCGCACAGGTCTACCCAAAAGTTCAGACCGTGTGACTAAGTGCACAGTCCAATCTCTTCTTAAATTCAGACAGGCTCGGTGCAGTGACCACTTCCCTGGGGAGCCTGTTCCAGTGTGCAACCACTCTCTCTGTGAAGAACTTCCTCCTGATGTCAAGCCTAAATTTCCCCTGCCTCAGCTTAACCCCGTTCCCGCGGGTCCTGTCGCTGGTGTTAATGGAGAAAAGGTCTCCTGCCTCTCGACACCCCCTTACGAGGAAGTTGTAGACTGCGATGAGGTCTCCCCTCAGCCTCCTCTTCTCCAGGCTGAACAGGCCCAGTGCCCTCAGCCGTTCCTCGTACATCTTCCCCTAACATCTAGGCAATGATGATCAGGAGTACAAAGGGAAGGAATTACAAGGAACTCAAAGCTTTAAAAGCATTTACAGTGTGTTTGGATAACAAGAGGCTACTCTTGAGCTGAAGGAAAAAAATCCCAGAGTTGGGATAACATGTCACTTTCGGGGTTGTACAATTGTTGGCAAGTGCTGTGGTTAAAAGAAAGAAACCAACACAGCCCCATGATATCCTGGCATAAAGGCTACTGTGGGGCACAGGTGATGAGTACCAGAGAGTCTGGGGCAAAAAACAGTGTTTAAGGAGATGAGTACTACTGCTCTGGGACAACATATATATATAATACAAGATGTGTGCAATTAACCCAGCACAGCAACACATTACCTCTGCAAGCACACCATGCAAATTAGAAGAAAGATCTTGTAGTTTCAAGTGAAACTACAATATGTTATGTTCTATTTACAATAAGTTCTAAGTATTTGACTACAAGATTTCACAGCAGCAAGGGTCTGAAGAATTAAATGATGGTAGGCTTTCATTCTTCCCTGGTATTTAGAGTTAATACAACAGCACTTATTGATGTCATGGACAGGATACATCCCTCAGGGTGGTACTATGTCTAAGCATAGAAACAATATCTCTTGCATAAATATTTTTGTGAATCAGGGGTATTTTCCTGTATCTTTTTCAATTTGCACAATGACACAGAAGGTATGGATAAACATGATGAAAGATGTACAACTTTAAGAACCATAAGGCAAATCTTTCTGCACAGGAAGTTGTAATATTGCTCTGGTCTGAGGGCCACCATTAGTTTTTATCATCTTCAGATGCTCTTGCAGATATTACTTGGATCAAAGAAATTAGAACTAAAAGTCATTTTTGAAGAGCTCATTAGAGCTTTAGTTCCTTGTACTCAGTTTTGATTTATTTTATTTTATTTTATTTTATTTTATTTTATTTTATTTTATTTTATTTATTTTATTTTATTTTATTCTATTTTATTTTATTTTATTTATTTTATTTTATTTTATTTTATTTATCTTATTTTATTTTATTTATCTTATTTTTTATTTTATTTATTTATTTATTTATTTTATTTTTACTTTTGGACATTATTCTGAATCCTCACAGAGCTCACTCTATTTTAACACAATTTCCCTGGTGTCTCTCATTTTACTTTAACTCAGGCCTTTCAAAAAATGGAAGTTTCTTATAGGTCTCTTTCCTTTCTGAGAGTGGCAACTCCATGATCACAGAAACCTGGAATTCTTGATGATTTTTTAAAAACACATTATCTAGTTGATTATCCTTGACTGGACAGTGTCCCGAGCAGCCTGCTGTATTTTACCCTGCTTGAACAGGGTCTGGGTTAGGTGAGTTGCATTGGTTCATCCCAAACTCAACAGTTCTGTGATCCTGTGAATCCATAATTATGGACAATTATGATAAATTATGATTACATATGTTGACTAATTGTAGTTAACGAGGCATATGAAAACTTTTAGTGATCATGGGTGTATATGTCTGTGGGTGCGGTAACAGATTTGTTGGGCATGAAGCCCTGAAGAGATACCAGTCCCTGTCATCTCTTGCTAGGCTATCATGGCACCGTCACTCCTAGAAGTGGAAACATTGGATGTTGCCACAAAAGCGTGGGTTGCTGAAAGAGCTAATGAGGCTGTTGATACATACTGAGAGGAGGGAACTTCAAAGCTGTAGGGTCCTATGGTTTCTGGAGCTCTGGGTGGAACCTTTCCTTGCAGGTTGTGTTCCAGAGGAGATTGAGTACCTTGGTGCTGAGAGAATATCCTGTGCATGAGGTGGTAGGCCAGTCTCCCAGTTCTTACTGGGAGTAAATCCCTCCTTCCTTTCCAAAATGTGATGGTGATGGAAATGATGAGGCAATACATAAACGCCAAAAGAATTTTGTTCACATCCAAATCAAAATTAGCTTAATCTAACAGCCTCCTGTCTATGTCTCATTAAAAGTAAGCTGTATTGAACATTCAGAAATGTTAAGCAATGTCAACATTTAATTACTATTTAGTGGGAATGAAACTACATATGTAAGTTGCACAGTTTTCAGGAAGAGTCAATCCTGGATGGTGTGCAAATAGGTACTGGATGATGTTTGCATTTAATATGGAAAGAGAAATGCATTTCAAAGTGGAAAATAAAGCCTATGTTAAGCATGTGCAATGATACAGAAAAGAGTAGATAGATATGCTGGAAAAGATAATTATACTCAACTGGTATTTCTAACCACTAGAGTGAACTTTCTCTAAAACTTTGCAATGACTGCAAGATCCCTAAGCCTCAACATTCCTTTGTTGTTTAGTAAATCACTAGTGAAATAGTGAAGTCTATCATGTAATGTGCCCTTCATTCTTCTCTAATAGTTTGTCCTCATAGAGTATAACTGCCTCACGGTTCCCACTGAGCTCAAATAGTATCTGTAACCTGAAACATAAGAAAGCATAAAATATTAACTCTTTGAAAAAGTCAGTAGACTGCTCATGCCAACATAAGGATGCTCTGAGTGTTTAAGTGAGAGCACCACAACTTCATAGGCATGTAAGAGTTTTGAACTGAAATATTTTTATATTTTTTATCAGATTTTTGCATCTCAGAACACTAGTTAGCTCAAAAATTTTCAGTCCTCACTTTTGTCTTCAAAGTATCTATTGTCAGAGAGATGGTGGCTCGACACTATTTAGGGAGTCCTGCAGCTAGATTCAGATTTATTAGTTACCTTCTTCAAACATTTTCCAGATTATAAAGTATCTTCATATTTCTCTCTTCTTTTAACTAAGAAACAAATTCTTCCACTAGCTCTATTGGGGGGATCTCAAAGAAAATAGCTGGAAGTAGTCACCAACCTAAGGACACACATTTAAATAAAAGCTAAAACAGATGTTTTTTGAAGATCTTGAGGCATAGATAATGGCATAGACATTGCAATTGCATTCTAAGAAAATTATATGATTTTAAAATTTAGATTATACAGTAAGATTTTAAAATCTAAAAGCATTGCTCGAATTTGAGAAGACCTTTAATGAGAACTTCAATTTAAACTGAGAAGATAATCTGATAATTTAAAAAATAATCTGAGAAATCCCCCCATCTGGAACATTGTAGCACATTTGTCATTAATTAGAGCAAATTTTCTCTCCAGCATTACTACATTTTAACCTGCTTTTCCAGAATTATTTCATCTTCTTTTTAAATTTCTTCCACTTTTCTGTAGTTCCTAATCACTGTCCAATAAGCACTGAAAAGGTCTTATTATCTTTGCAAGTACAGTTCACTTTAGGCATGGTTATGGCAACTGCTTACACAGGGACAGTGATGCTGTTGTGATCATATGATCTACACTCAGATCTCAGTCTTGAGAATTGGACTCATAGGAGATATTTCAGTTCTACTATCATTCCTTAAATGGCTTGTGCTGTTTTGCTTCTGCTGATGATGCATAGAGTATCATAACATTATGTCATCTCTCTGGAGGATATTAATACACCAGTATAATACAGCGTAAATCCATATCAGTCTGGACAGAAATGATCTTGAGCACTTTGTACATTTTTCTATAACTGGCTCAGGGTGCTATTTTACATCTGCAGCTTGCATGCAGAAAAGATGCAAATGCAAATGTTCTAAAGGTAGTACAAATATTAGGACAACGCCAGGGGAGTTTTAGGTTAGATGTTAGGAAGAACTTCTTTACTGAAAGGGTTGTTAGGCACTGGAACAGGCTGCCCAGGGAGGTGGTGGAGTCACCATCCCTGGAAGTCTTTAAAAGACGTTTAGATGTAGAGCTTAGGGATATGGTTTAGTGGGGACTGTTAGTGTTAGTGACTGTGGACTCGATGATCTTGAGGTCTCTTCCAACCTAGAAATTCTGTGATTCTGTGATTCTGTGATTGCTTTCAGTTCAAGAATTAAATGAAGCAATAGTATCCCATTAAAGAATTCCTTTTACTGCCTGGTTGTATGAACTTAGTATCTGGACTGGCATAATACTTTCATTACGCTTCATTATGAAAGTATTTTTCAGAATTGTTTTCCATAATCAGTGCACTACGTTGTGATATATTGTATATGATGACTTATCAGAGTATACAGTGACTTTTGTTTTAAACTGTGTATTATGTGCATTTCTTTGTAGAAAAGCACACACACACAAAATTACTGAACAACATTCACCTATGTCTGCAGGACAGCGTCACACATCAAATAAACATCATCATTGTATTATCAGTGTCTGTA